GCGCGGCTGAGAGCGTTTACGTCTCCCGGGGGGGGGGAGGAGGCTGAATGATGCTCAGGCGGACGGATGATTTCACTAACTCGCTTGCGAGGCGTCCCCCTTCCGACGTGTCCGCAGACCTCAGACTGGAAGGAGCGATGCTGCCGCAGGTGGTGCTCACACGTTGCTCCGTTCGCTGGGATGCCTGCAAATGTTGATGGAGTGGGGCTGAAGGGAGAAGAGCGTTTCCCTCGGGCTGACTTGTAGACGTTTTAACTGCAAACGGGGATTCAGCCCAAGATGGAGATGATGCCAGTTTGTTCAGGAGGGCACCGACGGGGAGAACAGGGGTGGTGAAGGTTTAGCACTCCGCATGTTTTGGGCTGTGCCTCCCGATGCAGATTGGGGAAGCTGAGAGTTGTAGTCCAAAACATCCCTGGTGGGGGAAAGTTGGTTTACACAATCCGTGGGCTTGAGCAAGATGAGCCAGTGGTTGGAACCCGTACAAGGCAGTTTCTTATGCCCCTCTTGCCCATAGGCTGGAAGACGTGTGTACTGACTGTAGTATAGGAGTGTCTGACTGCAGCTGTGCCTCGTGTTAAGTTGACCCCTTCCATGTTTTTTTTTTTAAAATTTCCATGGGGTGCTGCCCTCTTTTAAATGTGTATCACAATATTAGGCCCATAAAGCATGACTAATTTTTGTAAAGGGATCCTGCGTATGCGTGCTTGCTTAACAAGAAGAACTTTGTGGGATCAGACGAAGAGATCAGTCAACTAAGCAATCAGTGGCAGAATCTCATCAACCTAACATGCACTGGAGAATGACCACTGCTCTGCTGAAGACAAGAGCCAGTGTGGTGTCATGTCTAGCAGGCTGGACTAAAACTCAGGAGATCTGGGCTCCAGTCTTCACTCAGCTATGGTTTGTGTCACCATGGCAAATTGTTCCTGGAACATTTCACGTACCTTGGAAATCCCATTGTAGTTACCTGTCATCAAGTTGCCTTGGACGTATGGTGACCCTATGAATGAGTGATCTCTAAAATCTCCTTTCCTCAATAGGAAATCCTGTTAGGGACATTGAAGTGGTTTAGCAACACGATATAAGAACATAAGGAGAGCCCTGCTGGATCAGGCCTAGGGCCCGTCTAGTCCAGCTTCCTGTATCTCACAGCGGCCCCACCAGATGCCTTTGGGAGCATATGCGATAACTAGATACCTGTCTCCTAATACCACTCCCCTGCATCTGAAATTTTAATGTACCTTCCTTTTAAACCTGATTATACATCCCCATCATGGCTTGTAACCTGCGATGGACTTTTCTTCTAGGAATCTGTCCAATCTTCTTTTAAAGGCATCCAGTTCAGATGCCATTGCCACATCCTGTGGCAAGGAGTTCCACAGACTAACAACACATGGGGTAAATACATATTTTCTTTCATCTGTTCTCACTCTTCTAACATTCAATTTGAGTGGTTATCCCCTGGTCCTGGTATTGTGTGAGAGGGAAAAGGGCTTCCCTCTATCCACTTTATCCATCCCTTGCATAATTTTATACATCTCAATCATTCCCCCCTCAGGTGCCTTTTCTCTAGACCAAAGAGCCCCAAACGCTGTAGCCTTGCCTCCTAAGGGAGGTGCCCCAGCCCAGTCATCATTTGAGTCGCTCTCTTCTGCACCTTTTCCAGTTCCATGATGTCTTCTTTGAGGTGCAGTGACCAGAACTGTACGCAATAATCCAGGTGCGGCCTTACCAGTATTTTGTACAATGGCTTTATAATGTTGGCTTTTTAAATTTCAATCTCCTTTTGAATAATACCTAGCATGGAATTGGCCTTCTTCACTGCCGCCGCACACTGGGTTGACACTTTCATCGAGCTTTCCACCAGCACACCAAGATCTCTTTCCTGATCCGTCATGGACAGCTCAGAACCCATCAGCTGATCACTAAAGTTTTGATTTTTTTTGCCCCAATGTGCATTACTTTACATTTTCTTATACTGAAACACATTTGGCATTTTGCCACCCAGGCTCCTGGTTTGGAGAGATCCTCCTGGAGCTCTTCACAATCCCTTCTGGTCTTCACCACCCGGAAAAGTTTCATGTCATCTGCAAACTTGGCCACCTCGCTGCTTATCCCTGTCTCCTGGTCATTTATGAACAGGTAGAAAAGCATTGGTCCCAGGACGGATCCCTGGGGCACACCGCTCTTCACCTCTCTCCATTGTGAAAATTACCCATTGACACCTGTTTCCTGGTTCTCAACCAATTCTCAATCCATAAGAAGACCTGCCCTCTTATCCCCTGACTGTGAAGTTTTCTCAGCAGCCTTTGGTGAGAGACCATGTCAAAATGCCTTTGGAAAATCCAGATGGACAATACCCACTGGTTTGCCTGCATTCACATGCCTCTTGACCTTTCCAAAGAATTCTAAAAGGTTTGTGAGGCAAGACTTACTCTTACCATCCTGATTTTCTCTTAGCAAGGGTTGTTCTTCTATGTTTTACGATTTTATCTTGGATGAAGCTTTCGATCATCTTCCCAGGAACAAACGTTAAGCTAACTGGCCTCTAGTTTCCTGGGTCCCCCCCCCTCCATTTTTAAAGGTGCGCCTTCTATCCAGTTTGGTTTAAAATTCTGATTACATTTAAATTAACTGACAGAATCACAATCTGATGCTGGCAGAAAGTTGCCAGCTTCTGTTTGTGGCATTTCCAGTTGAAACGACAGTATATTCAGAGCTTGGAAAAATTGCTTGTTTGGCATCAACAAAGTACTTGTTTGGACTACAAGGTTGAGAGTCTCGTAACCAGTATGGCCTTGTGGGAGTTCAAAATATTAGATTTTTCAAGCCGTGCAAATAACATGAAAGGCCTGAGAACCACTGCTATTTAAGCTGTACCACTTTAGATTTAACTGAAGTAAGAAATGCCCAGTGTTTAAGATGGATTCAGAAAAGGAAGAGGCACTACAGACCATATCACAAAAATATACACTGACTTACCAAGGAAGGATACCAAGGAATATCAGAAGAGACTAGTTCTTTGCTTTTACAGATTGCAGTAAAGCTTTTGACTGTGTGGCTCACAAAAAAGATATGGATCATTTAAAAAGGAAAATAGGTGTGTCACAATATTTGATTGTCTCGATAGGTAACCTACATTGTGGACAAGAAGGTACTGTTGGGGCAGAATATGGAGAAGCAGAATACAGTAATTTTCTTATTCCTATTTTTCCTGTTTCCTAATTGCCTATCAAAGGTATCAGATGTGGGTATATTTTATCTTACATTATATGTAAAACTGTACTACATTCAGCAGAGGGAGGAATGAAAATTAGTAGAAGAAATGTCAGTAATTGATGTGCAGAATCTGACAGCCTTTTACTGGCAGAAAGCTGCAATGACTGGAAACAACAACTGATGGAGGGGAAAAAGAAGGTGCAAAATAAGGTTGAGATTTCTTCATTGTCAACAGTAAAACTGTAGTTCTTCTGTAATCTTTTCTCTCCAGATCAGGCTCCCAAAATCAAGCAGGGAAAATAAAAGTCGATTCGTTGTGAGAGAGGATTTCTTTGCATAATCTTCATCTCCAGTACTCAGAACAAACCCTCGGTTTTGAAATTTACACATCAGAGCATACTATTTTGAAAGGTAAGCTTGTGTGCAGTGCATTGTGTTCTTCAATTCTCCACCTGCCTTCCTATCTCACAGTTTTGCACCTGGCCTGTCACTGTGGGCTGTTCAGATTCTTTTTGTGAAAAATGAAGTATATTCCAAAGGCCTAAAGCCTGCTCATCCCTGAAGCAACACTGAGCTGGAAAGACAAACAGGACTCGGTTTAAAGTATTTTTTGGTTCTACCTTTCTCAGCTGGGGAATCGCAGGAATTGTAGCCCAAAGAAGGAATCTTTCCAAGCTCAGCGATATTCTTGTGTTCCTAACCGTGGCCCCATCTGCTTTTTCAAAATTCTACACTAGAAGCACGCACAAGGTATACCTGAAGAAGACTCATTGTCTTGTACAAGAAAACACCCTTTCTTCCTCATGCATGTGTGAAATGAGGAAGTGGACTTGTCCATTAAAGCTCACATTAAAATGTATCAGCCTTTCATGTGCCACCATGTTTTTGTCTTTTTTGTTTGTTTGCTTGTTCTTTTATTTTTATTTTCATTTTTCTTTGTACCTATAATGCTGGCAGAAATAAATGCAAGTTGGCAGCTCTGCTGTGAATGCTGCTGAGATCTGTTCTGACCTCACGGTATAATTTCTCAGGCTTCTGCTTCTGGTGACTTGGCTGATCCTGAACAATAAAAAGCACTGTGGGGCAAGCTGAATATTAAATATTATGATGGTCATTCAGTTGAATTGATTGATCTATGGATAGCTACATTCCTAGGGTTACTTTCTAGGGAGTTCAATTCTGCCAAAATCAGTGGGAGTGACTTCTGAGCAGTGGCACAGAGTTACATTATAAATCTGTATATGTTTGCATATGGAAAGAAATGAATTCATCATGTTTAAACAATGATGAATTCATGCTGTAGCAGATTGAATCATGTTGTTGTTGTTTAGTCATTAAGTCGTGTCTGACTCTTCGTGATCCCATGGACCAGAGCACGCCAGGCCCTCCTTCTTAAGTCGTGTCTGACTCTTCGTGATCCCACATGTTGGTTGCTTCGATGACACTGTCCATCCATCTCATCCTCGGTCGTCCCCTTCTCCTCTTGCCTTCACACTTTCCCAACATCGGGGTCTTTTCCAGGGAGTCTTCTCTTCTCATCAGATGGCCAAAGGATTGGAGCCTCAGCTTCAGGATCTGTCCTTCCAGTGAGCATTCAGGGTTGATTTCCTTTAGAACTGACAGGTTTGTTCTCCTTGCAGTCCAGGGGATTCTCAAGAGTTTCCTCCAGCACCACAATTCAAAAGCATCAATTCTTCAGTGGTCAGCCTTCTTTATGGTCCAGCTCTCACTTCCATACACCACTACTGGAAAAACCAAAGCTTTGACTATGCGGAGATCATCTGGCCGATGAAGGGTTTGGCAATGTTACTTTTTGATTACAATTTCCAGAATCCCCATATAGCATTATGGGATTTGTAATACAAAAAGTAACATTTCCCAGCATTGGTCCAACCCCTGCTCAATCTGTGAAACAGAGTTCAACACCTCCTTCCATGACATGTAGTTCTACAAAGTCTTCCGGATTTCTTCCAGTAAAGGATCGCCCACTGCCTCTTGAGGCACTCTGTTCCACTGTAGAATGATACTTATCATTAGAAAATATAGTCTTAATATTCACCCACAATTTCACTATTTACCTGTTAATATCCTGCCATTTGTTATAGTCTTGTCCTCTGCAGCAACAGAGAACAAATTTGATCTGTCTTCCTGTCTGATGGGCTTTCAAATATTTGAAGACTTCTATCTGAAGCCTCCCCTTAGTTTTCTCCAGGCTGACCTTTCCAGAAATTCTAGCTGTTTCTTAGTGGAATTTTTTTCTATAGATGCTTTATGCTATCCTGACCATTGTCCTGTGGATACCATCTATGTAGTCCAGGGTGTGTGTGTGCAAAATACAGTCCTCCAGATATTGCTGGATTGTTAACTCCTAGCATGTCTCACAACTGGTTATGTTGGCAAGGGCTAATAGAGCTTTGTCCACCTCTTCTCTAGTCTGTCAATGTCCTTTTTAAACCAACAAAAATTGACCTAAGGACTAGGTAACACAACTGAGGGTTTTTTTTGTTGTGAGAGGACAGTTGGCATTGTTTCCCCATCCTCAAGTGTACTTCTGATCTGCCAGAAGTTCCCTCCATTATTCTATCAAAGCCTTGCCTTCACAGCTAACCTCTAATACTTCATCTTAATCTGAGTACATCTGCAGCACAAGTGTCGTCTCTTCTTGACACTGACTGTGTGTGCTGTCACAATAGCATTTTGATAAAATGAAACGAAAACTATGACTTACCTTGGGCATGTCGCTTGAGGCCCCCATGCCAGGTTGTGCTTTCATGCTACGTTTGACTTACAGACAGAAAGACAGATGGACAGACAGAACGAATGGACGGACAGATGGACGAAAGAAAGAAAGAAAGAAAGAAAGAAAGAAAGAAAGAAAGAAAGAAAGAAGGGAGACTAGTAAGGGGGGCTGTGTTAAAAAACAAAAGAAAATTTAGTGTATGTCAGGAAGCACTGTGATAATGGTCAACAATTGTTTTCACTCAGAAGGACAAAATAAAGGAGGCACAGTGGAATAAGATAAAATAATAAGGCTCACTGGAATAAGTGTGGGACATAACTGCAATTAAAGAAAGAAAGAATAAATATTTGTTCTTATTAGCTCTCATCAGGTTCCATTAACCTTTATTTGAATTCTGGAGGCAGGCCCTCCAGAATTGCTCATGCTATAATAATTTCCATGTATTATTTATTAACTCATAATGTGGACATATGAGCATCCATAATTCTGGCTTCTGCACTGTGAAGGAAAAATCCATTTTCAAGACTCATGTCCTTTTAAGGTCACTTTTTTTAAAAAAAAAGGTGACTGGCACATGGTTAAAGAGATGAGCAAATTCAACTAGGCAAAAAAAAAATCCTAAATCAACTGCACATTCCAATAAAACAATTCAGTTATCAATTGCTTTTCTAGTACAACAAAGTATAGAATTAGCTAATTGCAGACATCTTGTTTATCCTGCTCTTTAGCTACTTGATGTTAAAGGGATGTGAGCTGGAATTTACATCCAGACTTGCTTTTAAAACTAATTTCTCCTCTTTTAAAGAAATATTTAACAAAATCTTTAAGAAATAATTAAGAAATCTACTTCCCTTCTTGACCTGTTGTCGTTTTGAGGGCCAGAAATCTTTAAGAAATAATTAAGAAATCTACCTCCCTGCTTGAGGTGTTCTGTTGTCGTTTTGAGGGCTAATTGAAAGCTTCCAAACAGGAAGCTCTCACTTCACATATCAGCTTCAGTGGGAAGGTCTGTAGCACTAAATTCTACCCTCCAACCTCTAGCCGTGATGCTCTGACACAAACTCCACATTGCAAATCTTCTGCCCCAGATGTTGCTTCAGCAGTGGGTTTCCTGCTTCTTCAGGGAGCTGCCCATTCATTGACCACCCCTCACTTTAAATAGTTAGGATCTGCATCTGGATAATTGCACGGTTGCCCAACTACATGTTGCCACAAAAGTACCTGTTTATATGCATGGCAAGGCTTAACCCGGAAGCTGTTTTTACAATGTCATGCATAAGCTCTAGAGTGTATGAAGTGATAGGGCCAAGCCTCTGAGCATGAACAGACTACCTTTCTCTCACCAGAGGATAACCAGTTTCTACTTTTGAGAATAGGGGAAAGGCTTCCAAACATCCCACCAGTCCTCTTCTGAGTAGAAGGATTTGCCAGGATAGTAACACAAGTGATTGTGCTCTGCAAGTGATTGTGCAGTTCTTGAGGTGCACAAACAAACCGCACAATCACTCCTGGATTAACCATTAAGCAAAATAAGCATGTGTTTAGGGTCATCAGCAAGGGAAGGGGACACCACAGAGTTTGTTTCAAGGCTGGACGTTCCATGGACCACGGTGTAAATGATGCAACCTCCTTAACAACCCACTTCCATCCATCCCTCACTCTCAGCTCTCTCTCTCCCCCCCCACCTCAAGAGCACCAAGAAAACCACTTCCTTACCTAAAGTAATTAAATATGTACCAGTAAACCTAAAATGTATACTCATCGAGCAAAAAACCTCATGTTTTGAGTGAAATTATCAATCATCATCACTTGGTGATTTTTGTTTATATATGTATTTTTTTAACTTCCGTATATTGGGAGGTTGGATGGGGATAAGGATAAAAAGAGCTGCCGGCCTTGGACCCACTAAATGCACAAGCCAAAGAAATAACAGCCACTGTTAAAAATGCCCCAAAAGGGGATTTAAGCTCTGGTTTGAGCTTTCCAGTTTAGAGATTCTCATGAAATCTGTCTACATGAATCAAAGCATAAAAGTGCAAGATTTGGCCGGAAGCCAGTAATTTGATTGTACGTATGATTTTGTGTACAATATGTGGTCCTTTTTGGCCACATGCTATACAGTTACATTACTGTATTTTCCTCCATATGTGTTACACTTTTATTTAAGCCATGACACCTACTGCATATTATATTCATGGGGGCACCATAATCTTTTCAGTGCTTAGGACTTCTAATGGTCTTAATCTGGCCTTGAGCATAATCCTGTGTTACTACAGTAGAGTGACTTTCCAGTGAGCAGACATGCAGTGGGATACTGGCCCTGAAAAACTGCCAGCCATATGTAATGTCTTGCATGTGTGTGTCTGCACGGGTGCTTTGTCTAAATAGCCATGCATGTCCAGAGAAATTAATCGTTCTGTATCTTCGGGTGCGTAATCATTTTCTTGAGCTTGTCTACTGTGCTTGTGGACGCAATTTTGCATCTGCGTGTCTGCTGCATGTATGGCATGTACACATGCATGCGTTTCTGACCGCGCTGCAGTGTATCCGATTCCCTTTGTGTGTTTCCAGTTGTCCTTGTTCAGCACAGCCTAGGAGACATGGTAAATTTTAAGAATAGAAAAAAGTTGCAGTGTGTTTCAGTTAAGTACAGTATACATGTCAAACTGTGCCATTCTCCCCATAGCAACAGCCTCCAAGTATCATCACCCACCCATAGCAGTGGTTGCCAGGTGACAGAAACTGTGGCCTTCTCAGCAGCCAAGGCCACATGGCTGTTTTTGTTTAATGTCAGGGCTGTAACTAAGGGCCTGGAACTGGCTATCTCCAGGTTGACCGAAGCCCCAAAAACAGTATGGGTGGATACTGACAGAAAGTCTTACATAGGAATAAGAAAATAGAGATCAAACTGTGCTTCAAATCATAACTCAATTCTGGCACAATTTTTCTCTCCTTTCTGGAGTTCAATCTCTTAGGTTCTCTGCTTCTCACTTGTGGTTATCTTCTCCATTCAAGAAACGTTCCCCTTGGCCTGGCTTCACACCACTCCTGTGTGACAAAGGCCACAGAAGATTGCTTTCCAGGGACACCTTGCCTGAAAATCTTGGGTAGCGTTCTTTCACTGACTCCTTCACTGCTGAACTTTTCCCCTGGTTTATGTGGAATTATGTCTATGACAAGAAGAGGCACCTGGAGTGCCAGCAGATCTCTCCTTAAAGCTTTCCTTGTTCCTTCCCTCCTTAGAGCAAACTCCTTAACAGGGACTGCTTGGCCCGGTCCAGTCTTAAACCTACTTCTTGGATGTAGCTAGAGACACGGCTGCTGTGCTCCTCTTAGGTAGGGCAGGGGAATGAATGGTGATGCCGCTGTGGGGACTTATTTCTTGCTTATATGGAGAGCGGAGTTTGCATTTGCTACCCTGGAGCAACCACTGACCTCACCCAACTGTAAGGTTTGCCCTGATCTCATAGGTTGATCAGGTTCCCAGAACCTTCTGTGGAAGATGCTGCAGTGCTTCCAGATTTATTATTATCATTATTATGGACAGTCAGTTTTTCCCCCCAATTTTCTTCAAGGAGTTGAGGGTGGTGTAATTGGCAGTCCTCCCCACCACCCCAGCAGGAGGTTGGAGAAGTTACTGTTTTTGGACTATAACTCCTAGAATCACTTACCCAACATGGCTAGAGAGTTCTAGGAGCTGTATTCTAAACACAGAAATAGGAGATGGTGGTGGCAAGACTCTATAGGATAGGGAGTCTCCATGAGCTAGAGTAGGCACACAGGCTGCAGGTTTGCCTTCATTGCATCAGGAGATATTTTCTCCAGTGAAGATTTGTGTGACAATGAAGCAGACGATATTGGAGTGCTCCCAGAATGATTTTTGGGTAATTGTGAGAATTGTTCTGTCTTCCTGACTTTTAAGGAGAAGCTACCTTCCCTGGGCCACATTAGAAGATGAAAATTTGGCTTGGGCCACACATAAATTTGGTTTGGGCCGCATGGGGGGCAGCCCTAGCCGTCCTCCGCAGCCCCGCTCCAAGCACGCTTGCCGGCAGCTGCGATCTCAGACAGCAGAGGCTGCCAGCTTCGACTCCGGTGGCTTTATGGGGCCGGGAGGGGGTCCACCTATTGACAGGGACGGCACAATGCAGTCACGCAGGCCCCCCTCCCCTCTCCTCCCACTCCTTCCTTCCTTCCCTCTCTCCCCCCCCACCGTTGTGACGTGCCCTGGCCGAAAGCGCCGGCAATGTTACTTGAAACTTTGGAATTTCTTTGAAAATAAAAAATTGCACTGGGCCGCATTACGAGCTGACCTGGGCCGCATGCGGCCCTCGGGCCACAGGTTGGACAAGCCTGGTCTAGCACTTCTGTAAAGCACCAGATTGGGAAAGGCTGACAAATATCCTGTTTGGAGAAGCTCTGGGTTGGAAGTCAAGAGGTAAGATCTGGATAGGCTTTTAGAAAGTGTGCACATGACAGTAACTGTAATACCTGTTGCCTGGAGCTTAATCTGTTGTTGCCTCTTACGTTTACAGAGCATCATGGCCCAGAGCATGGACATGGCATCACTGGAGGAGAGCTTCCGGAAGTTTGCCATCTACGGAGACACCAAAGCCACTGGGCAGGAAATGAATGGCAAGAACTGGGCCAAGTTGTGTAAGGATTGTAAAGTTATTGATGGCAAAGGGGTCACTAGCACAGATGTGGACATTGTCTTCAGTAAGGTGAAGTAAGTGCCTTTCTACCTGTCCTGTAGGTTAAAAAAGCCATTTAAAGTGAGAACATCATAGAGATGCATAAAATCATGGAAGGTGTGGAGAAGGTTGAATTTCCCCCAGTTAAATGCTTTCCCAATGTTGCTTCTTACAGGATGGGAGATTGGAATAATTATGTGGGGGCATGACTACAGAAATGTTTGTGATAAAGGTTAATGCAAACTTTATCACACGCTATATTAAAAAGCTGCGGTGTTTCACACAGAAATGTTTAATGAGCCCAAGAAGGTGTGTTTCTGCACATCACCTTCTCCCTTACCCTTCTCTGACATTATCACCACCCGGTTATCCACTTCCTTCACTTCTTTGTTTTAATGTTTAGTGAGTAAAATAGTGCTAAACTGCAAGAGAACAGTAAGCATCTGAGTTGGTGCTGTGTCAATTTAGTTCTGAATCACTTTTAAAACACCATTTACAAACCACATTTGACATGTAGTGCTTTCCAGCATGAGCAAAAGACAGGCAAAAAGAGCCGACACCATACCTAACTGTGTATCATCAGTAGTATCACCTGGATGTGCTAAACAACTACTCTAAAAATTCAATATAGGTAATTAAACAATCTAAAAGCAAGACAAAACAATGCACTACCAAAAAACATAAGCCCTGCCCACTGAAAAAAAAAGGCCACATATTCATACCAAAAGATCAGATCTACTCACCATTAGTGCTAATATTGTATAGTCAGTAACAAGTATTGATCCTGGAACAGGTGATACCTTTATTCAACCATTAAGACTATAAAACAAAAAAAAGGTGAGCTTTTGATGCTAAAACATCTTGGCTGCACACAAAGTTCTTATTGGTAGTTCCAAAATTAAATAATGTTATTGAAGTCCAAAAGTCATATGGCTGATGGAGAGGCCAGGCTCCCTTCTTAGTTGGAGATGGTTGCAGTTTGCAAGCGGCTTTGGGGGTGGGCAGATGGTTTCAAGCCCCTCCTCACCGCCCTCAGTTGGAAGTACTGAATTTGTGGCCCATCTCTGAAAACAAAGGACAGTCTGACACTCTGAGCCCATTTCTTTTCCCCCTTTCTGCCTTTTTAAAATTAAAATAATTCTTATTTGGCGGCGGCGGGGGGGGGAATATAGCTCAGGATGATGGCATGCCTCTAGCAGAGTTGGGAATTAGTAAAACCACCAGGAACAGACAATTTTAGCTAAAAAATTTGCCAAATTGATAGTTTTACCTGGTGGATGTTTTCCTTAGCATGCAGTACTGCTTGTCCATAATATTCAAGAATTTACGTTAGTAGCCATTCTGTGCTAATAAATACTGAATTATTAACATGGCAACATTTTAGGCAGGATAAACTCAAGATGGTGTGCTTTTTGATTCCTTGTGTAAAAAAGATAAATCAAACATGATAGATCATAATACAGTGGTGCCTTGCACAACGAGCGCCCCATAGAGCGATGAATTCGCTCTACGGTGATGCTTTTGCGATCGCTAATGCGATCGCAGAGCGATGCCCCCAATGGGGGATAATCGCAGAGCGAAGGTCGGTAAGCGGTTCGCTTACC